CTGTTGGACCATCAAAAGGTGTTTCCATTCCTTGAGTTGGATGGAGACTACAACGAGGCACTCGTCAAGGTATTCTATGCGGGTATACAAGGTAAATTCTCTGATCATCAATTTTCATACAGAATCATTGATAAGGTTGTCAGAGTAGATAATGAAATTTGGAAAAATTTTGAGTTGTTCCCTATTGACACCGATACTGTTAAAATCACCGACACGAAGCTTCCTGCAGACTATGACTTCAAACATGCCTTGAACTCTATGTTAAAACGACCATATCCTGAGAACTTTGTGCAAAGTATCGCTTTTCCAAAAACTGTCACAACAGGTCAATTAGTTCCTCTAGCTCGAATTATGCAATGGATTGTGTCAAGGATAATTCGTCCCAAAAAGGGTGGGTTGTCCCGTATTGATCAACCTGAAGTTATGTTAATTAGGGCAATTCTGAACAAAATTAAGATAAATTGGCCGTATTACATCACTAGCCGATTATTTGCATTAAGGGATTCCCCTAGAGGATCTGCCTTGGGATATCCATCATTCATTCATGGAATTCTCAGTCAAGCAAATTTTGATCTTACTGGTATCTCACTTACACCTATTATGTCGGATTCAGATTTTACCTCCAAAACTCTCGCACTTATGGGTTATCAATGGAATCCCCAGATTGGTAAGTACAAATACTTTGTGATGTCTAACTCGGTAATGGCTCAGAATAAAGATGTTAGACAGGATGATGAAATGGAAGATGTTGAGGACGATGAAGTTGATACTGAGAATCTAGAAAGTGCTGAAGAAGAGGAAGAAACCGACAACGGAAATGATGACCATGAGCCTCATAGATCCTATGATAAAGTGATGCGCAAACTTGAGGAAATGCACGTCCACCATCATGAAGAAATGGCATTAGCAACTGAACGAATCAACAATCTTGCTGGAATGGTCAATCTTCAACACACTTAGTTCAATGATTATGCTAGCCTCCAAGACCACTGATATAACACTCTTCATGAAATGATGGTAACACAAAACTCAAATCTGGCAAACTTTCAGTCGGCTTTCATGGCTCGCTTTCCACCAAACCAACCACAAGACAATGAGGAACAACATTAGTCAATGCTTGGAACTTTATTTCTTGTTTATTATGCTTATGTTATCTTGATTTTGTATTCAAACTGCTTTACTTCCCGTACTACTTTGTGTCTTATTTTGGGTTTGTAACATTGAACATCATATGTTTTACTTTATTGGTTATTGCTTCTATTTTCGTTTGTACTTGCTTCATATTGTGTGTATGCTAGTTTGTGCTCTTATTTGCAAAGTTGGAAAATATTGGTCACTCTATGTTTTTAGTTCTCTTAATTCATGTCCTTGTTTCTTTTTGATGTTGTCAAAGGGGGAGAAGGAAAGGAATACAGCCACAGCAGAAATATGCAATATCTCAGGGGGAGGATAATTGGATGGTTCGCAAGACGATTCATATTTGCGATTTTTGCCATCATCAAAAAGGGGGAGTATGTGAGGGAAAAAGTGAAAGAACTGAATTTTAATGATTGTCAAAAACTCATTTGTGCAAATATGCCTTACTTCAAACAGGTGCAAGTGAGAAACATCAAAAATAAGCATTTCTCTCAAAACAGACTGCATGAGCCGGCTTATAGATCCTCAGGTCGGCTCATGAGAAGAAGTTCTTGGCTTGGAAATGTCCGAGAAGGCGCACGCCTTCTCTATGCGTCGACGCATGGTTTTGGAAGAATATGAGTCGGCGCATCAGAGAATGAGTCGGCGCATGACTGAAGAAATTTTAACCTCTCTCGCTCGGGAAGGCGCACGCCTTCTCTATGCATCGACGCATAGTTCTGGGAAAACATGAGTCGGCGTATAAATGAAGGAACTTCAATCTCTCTCTTGCTAGGGAAGGCGCACGCCTTCCGTATACCCTGCATGAGCCGATGCAACGCTAAATTGTCTTAATTTTCTGCTATGCTGTTACATCATGGGAATGATCTATAAATATTGTTTTGGCCTCTGTTTAAAAAAAAACAAGAAAAAGTGAAAGATATACACAAGAGTTTTCTTCATCTTCAACCTCTCATCAATCATCAACAACTACACACAATCATTTTTGTTGATCAAGTTCTTGGGATTATGTTGATAACGTCCGAATTGAAAGTGCAATTTCAGGTTTGGATTGAGATCTTTGTGGGTTTTTTCTTGAATAAAACCATTGAGATTTTGTCCTCCAAAATTGGGGGTTTTTATCACAAATCTTTGCTTCATTGAATTCAGCCGAGCTAAGGGATTGGAAGACCGTGGAGTGTTCAATCAGATAGCGGTAGCCAGAGGATTGTGAAGAAGGATTCGGGGCCAAAGATTCTTGAGTACAAAATCATTCAAGGTAGAAGGAGTTTTTGTTCAAGATTTGGCATACTTGATTCATCTGGAATTAAGGGAAGAGGAGTGCAACATAAAAGATTCATCAAGTGATTTTGAATTGTGGTGATTGTATCTTCTCTTACAAACTTTACAAAATTAATTTCATATCCTAATTCTATATTCTAGAATTGAGGGCAGAGTAGCCCACGCGAGGACGACAGGGTGAAATGCCTTAACAAATACCGTGTCCAATTTAGTTTTCTGCATTTGATTTCTATTTGTTTAAATTTGTGAGTTATCAATTTTCTTATGCATACAAAATAATTGTAGTGATAAACTAAAATTTAAAACTCATATAGCATTCATTCGAAGTGCTATAATCACTACAATTTGAGTATAACCAAACCTTGTGTAGTACGTACACAAAGTGTTTGGTGAATTTACAACTCACAAATTTGCTTTATCTTCTCCGCAACTAATTGGTAATAACTTACACCTTGTTAAACTTGCTAAAGCGACTCATCATATTCATTTTTAATTGTGATACTATTATCATCATTTTCATCAAATTAGTTTGCATATCCGATCTTTCCAATACGTAAAGTTTAGACGATCAGATTCAGGGTTATCGCTCTCTGATAAAAATGATTTTACAAAACGCGCAAATTTTTAAAGGGATCTATTCACATTGTCTAACAATATTGGGTGAAGATTTCAAAGTCCATGGACTACTGAGGAGTTTATAAAAGAAAGACCTAAATATTTTTGTTATTATCACTAAGGTGATTGTGGAAAGTGAGATGGAGTTCTCATATCTAGAGGGTTCCTTGATAGAAGTTGCATAAGGTAGTGATTAGGTGATAAGTTGTAAACTAGGGTTGTTTAGCTCTGAATTAATATTATCATAGTGGATTTCCTTCTTGGATTGGATGTCCCCAGAATAAGTGATGTTGCACTGATCTTGGTTAACAATTGTCTGTGTTATTTATCTTCAACAATTTAATCTCTGCATAATTCATAATTTCTACAAATTATTGTATCAAGAAGATGGTGTCTTGACATTGTCTTTTGGTGTTGTGACATCTATCTTAACATCTATTTGAAAGGGCCAGAATTTCAATTATCATTTTCAATAGACACACTATCTACACTATCTTTTTTAATGGACACGTATCTTTTATTAAGAATTTATCAAAGACTCCTACTTAAGATTAAATTAACTCTTCATTTTTTTCCCTTTTCTTATGCTTATTATTTTCACATTCATACTTTCTATGATTAAGAGGCATAGTAAGAAAAAACCTAGAATATCTTACTAAGTTTACTGTGTCTGCTAATGAACAACTCCGCAGTATTAACTTGCAAGCGAACTATTTGTAGCCCCATTATTAAATATGTACCTCCAATAAAATTAAAATTACACATGTTAATTGACATGACAAATATAAAATATTTATATCAAATAAAATGTAAGTTATGTTGAATAAAAAGTATCGAAGGTCAATGAGAATATTTTTTACAGAGCAAAAGTATCCTTCTGCAAAACGGTTAACAGACTGCATATTTGGATTGTTGTGAATTTTGTTTTTGTTACAGAGAGGGTCGGAGCCTACAAGAAACTAAAGAACTACAAATCTAGAGAAAAAGACACCCGATAAATCTCCATCCACCAACTGAGTAATGTACGTGGGAAAGTTTTCACCAAACACAATATCCTCCACCATATCAACTCCAATATTAGCAAGCGCATCAACACATTGATTAACTTCCCTAAAAGTATGGCTAACCGATACCTCTTCATGAGCATCTATTAAATTAACTTATAAACACGAAGAAACATATTGTAGCTATCCACATCCAAAGTGCTTCTAGCTCTCAACGTTTCTGCAATAACACTAGAGTCAATGTTAAGTTCCACCTTCAAGAATCCCATCCTACTCGTCATAGTTAATCCTTCTATGATTTCCCAAAACTCTGCCCATTTAGCATTACAGCTATCAATATTTCTCGCAAAACCTCCCTGCGGAACCCCCTTATGATCCCTTATAATTCCTCCACACCCAACTTTCCCACTCTCCCTGCTAGCTCTGTATGTATTCAACTTAACCAAATTCTCCGCTGGAGGCGTCCATTTGAACGAAACCTCTTCCTTCTCCCTACCAGTCACAATATGATGACTACTCAATGCTTTCTCGTACTCCATAATCTGATGATAAATGTGAGTACTTGGAAGAAACAATCTTTGATAATTCTCATCATGCACCTCCTTGTTTCGCCACATCCAAAGACAATTGCACGCTACTGCCCAGTAGTTGCGCCAATCTTCATTAGCCTGCATATTTAGTCTTATCCAGTCATCCATATCCAGCATAAAGAAATCACTTCGAATCTTGATAGGAACTTTGTCATTCCACACTTGTATGGCTTTAGGACAATCACACGCCATATGTAATACGGACGCCACCGTGCTACCACACAAATCACATCCTACACTACCCAAACCTCTTCTACTTTTCAGCAAATTAGTCCACAGTTTATCATGCACCATTAACCAAATGAATCTTCTTACTTTCTTCTGAACTTTTAGATGCCAAACTCTCTTCTACAGCGGATTATCTGATGTCTCGTTATGCCCTAAACTTGAGTAAACCCCCCTTGACTGAGTAACTGGTTTTGGTTACACCTTCAGGAAAATACTCATCATTTCCTAAGTCTGGATTAGGAGGCAGTAACACTTTAATCCTCTGCAGATACTCTTCCGGCATCCAACTCATGAATTTATTCATATCCCAATTACCATGTCCGTCCACCATCTCTGTTAACTGAACATGCAGCAGGTTGAAGGGAATAATAACATCCATATCCTTAATGATCTCGCCTTTTCCTAGCCAACAGTCTGTCCACGGCTTAATGGTTGCTCCATTACCAATGCTCCATATCCCATTGCTAGCCACCCTCTGCCAAGCATTGACAATGTCATTCCACAACTTAGAACCATTACTTCTCAATTTGTAATCATATAAGGTATGTGTCTTATATTTATGATGAAGCACTTGGCACCAAAACTCAGTCCCTCGATTCTGAAACTTCCACGTAAGTTTGCCAATACAAGCAATATTTATTTTCTCCAGCTTTCATAATATGAGACCACCGTCATCATTGTGTTGCGAAATTACATTCCAGCTAACTGCATGATGCCTTTTCTTCTCTTCTGTATCTCCCCAAATAAAATTCCTCTCCATTTTATGAATTTCATCAATACACGCTTTAGGAAGAATATTTGTCATCATAGGGTAAATAGGCATCGCTTCAAGCTCACTCTTGGCAAGATTAATCCTCCCTGCAAAAGAAAGAAAGTTAGTTTTCCAACCAGCCATCTTGGCTGACATTTGTTCCATAAGATACTGATAATCCTTCCGCCGTAAACTCTTTCCACTCAACGACACACCAAGATATTTCCCCAAGTCATTAGTTTCCCTGAACTTGGAAATATGAATCAACTTGTTCCTAACACTCCTCGTAGCATTCTTGGAAAAGAACAAACTTGTTTTCTCTTCGCTAACTTCCTGTCCAGACATGGTGCTAAAGCAGTTAAGCGTATCTATGACACACTTCATTTTCATCTCAGTAGCTTCTCCAACCAAGAGCAAACCATCGGCAAACATAAGGTGTGATATCCAGGGTCCATGCTTCCCCATTTTAAGCGCTTTCCATCTACCACAACTGACTGCTTCCATGATTAAGTGCGATAATTTTTCCATGCACAACACAAACAGGTATGGTGACATTGGATCACCCTGCCTAATGCCACACTGCGGTCGAAAGAATTCACTTCTAGCTCCATTCCATTTAACATTCGTCTTAACGCTAGTTACTGCATGCATGATAAGATTAATCATGCCTTCCGGGAACTTAGCTTCCTGCAAAATCTTCCATATAAATTTCCAGCTAAGCTTATCGTAAGCTTTCGAAAGATCTACCTTTATCATAAAGAAGCCTTTCTTCCCTTTCTTTATGTGCATTGAGTGTAGTACTTCCTTGGCCACAATAATGTTCTCATGAATGTTGCGACCCAGAACAAAACTTGTCTGAAAAGGAGACACCATCTTGGCCAAACAAACTTTCATTCTGTTCACCACAACCTTACTCACTATCTTATAAATGGGATTTCAAAGTGAGATTGGCTGGAATTGAGACACCAGTTGAGGCACTTCTACTTCCGGGATCAAACAAATATCCGTTTGGTTGATATGCATGACCTCACTTGGATTATTCCAGATTTTCTTCACATACTCACACGCTTTACCACCAACCTTATGCCAAGTTTTTTGATAAAAAACAGCTGAAAAACTATCTGGCCCCGGTGCTTTCCACGGACTCATATCAAACACAACTTTCCTTATCTCCTCATCCTCCACTTGATTACTCATCAATTGAAAATCCTCATTGGCAATCTCAGTAAAAGTAACTGCAGTAGGTTTCCACTCGCTCCAATTGTAGTTTAGCTCAAACAATTTCTTATAGAAATTATTCACAAGATTTTTCAGGTCACCCCCTTTATCAATCCAAGCCACCTTGATCATTTTTCAACATCACAATCTTATGTCTTCTCTGCCTTCGTACTCTATCGTGTACAAATTATCCTGAATTGAAAACATTGCTAGTAGCGGTTTGATAATTCTACTTTCACACACACCCTTGCATAATTCCCCCTTTCAGCTTGTGAAATTGTTATATCCACTTTCACCGTCCGCCATATTCTATTCCCAATGATAGTGAGTATGTTTGGATCATAATACTCTATTGGCAAGCCTGCAATTCTTAGCTAGACTGCTACGCTTCCAATCGTCGCACTAGCACTATGAAAGTTGGGACACCAATCCTTAACAGTTAAATACTGGTCATATATGAACCATGGCCCTTCAGTTAAGGTAGTCGTTCCCCAAATCCACTATGCTTATCACCCCTCGCCTGACCCACATTTGTCTTAATCTTACTTCCAAAGTTTTATATCTTATCTTCCTTCCCAGTAGTTTAACTATAACTCCCCTCTTCCATGGTCTCTGGATTCTTTTTTCCTCATGTTTTGACAAAATAAAGGATGGACAATCATATCCTCCTATCTTGCACTCTTTAATAATAACTCCACCTTCACCATCCTCCTCCTCATCTTCATCTACCTTCATCTCCTGCTCCAGCTGCTAATCCAATCACCGAATCTCTGTATGACTTTCCGGCGTGTACACCATGTAATTCTTGCTCATTAAGACTAGTTGGATTACCTTCTGCTATTCTCGTTCCTACATTTCTCTCCGGTCCTTCCATGTCTCGTTCAGTATTGTTAGCATATCCAATGTTGTCATAAGTCACTGGCAGAGAAGACTCGGCAACAAAGAGTTGATCACCTTCTTTCTTCCGCTTCATATTTCATTATCTTTGTTGTAAGGTTTTAAAGTCTTGTGAGTTTATGAGTATTATTACTAATATCATCAGCTTGTTTGTAAGTAATACAAACAACTTGTAAAATGAAAAGCAAACAAAGTAACAAACAACTTACAAAACGAAAAACACTTTACCGAATTATTAGTTGCAAAATTAACAGTATTGTACAAATTTATTAGTTGCAAAATGAAAATCAAAATGAAATCACCAGCTTGTAACTCTTTGAACTATTGATTGAAAAATGAAAAGCAAAATAACAAACAAACAGTCTAGAAGAAAAAAAACATCAGCTTGACGAAACTTACCGATTGAACCACACTACACCGTCGTGACGTCGTCCTCGTTGTCGCCGTTACGTGGTATCTCATTTTGTTCTGTTTTGGAGAAGAAAATGGGACATTTGAACTTTAGAAAAGAAACCAAGCAGTAATGTTACTTTAGAGAAGAAAGAGAGACCAGAAAAGAAAACCAAAGGTTTGAGAAGAAAGAGACCGGCTTTTAATAATATTTCTTTTGGGAATTTGTTATCCCACTCTATATAGGTGAAAATAATTTTATGAAAGCTTTATTTTATGATTTTTTTTTAAATAATTTTTTTTTTAAATTTCTAAATAACCATATTTTCAAATATTTTACTAAAATGATCACTTTTCAAATAAAAAAATTCCGCCACACAGAAGATGCGTCACTCTGTGTGGCGCATGCACTCAAATTAAAGAGGAGGTGTCACACTGCATGGCTTGTCCTCCTCTGTAAAGCCATCCAGTGTGGCGCATTCATGTGTTTTTGAGAGGAGGCGCCACCCTCAGTGGCTTGACAGTGTAATTGTAATTTTTTTTAAATAAAATAAAAAATATTAAAAATATTTTATATTAATATTTAATATCATACAACGCATGGATACATTTTTTATGGACGTCCCCTCAACCTAAGCGGGTCCCCGTATGACATAAACGGTTGCGCCTTTGCCTCGCCCCTTGTCTCACTCCCCTCTGTTGATTTTCCTGAGGTGTTTTTGGCCTGTTCTGACTTGCTTGATTATGAGGTGCTTGATGTGATGGTCCTGGTATATCAGGATCATACATCTCATCGATCATTTCGCCCCACTGAGTTGTGCTTCCAAAGAGATCGGTGCCCATATTGTTGAAGTTTGGTCTTGTTGGTTGGGATATGTGTGGGTGGTGGGGTGGTTGATAGTATTGGGATGTTGAATCATGATGAAAACAAAGAAACGGTTCTTGTGGTGTCTGAAATCCATATGATGGTTGGGTACTTCGATGGTATGATGTTTGACCGTATGGAGGTTGAGTGGTATGGTAGGAAGGAGATGTATCATATGTGTCTTGGGTGTTGTGGTAGGATGAGGATGGTGCATATTATTGGTGGTGGATCGGGTCATGCTCTTGGTATTGTGTTTGTGTGTGTGGCATGAATTGATGACAAGTTTGGTTGAATGAGGTGGTGTATGGTTGTTGGATTTGAGTGGGTTGACATTGTGGTTGGGTTTGGTATTGTTGAGGGGTTGGTTGTTAGGTCTGATATTGTTGAGGGGTTGGTTGTTGGGATTGTTGTTGGGCGTATGTTGCAGCTCTTTGGCGTGGGTCAATCAAATAAGTCTCTTGAGACAGAAACAAATTTGTTGAAATTGATGTGTACCATCTCAAATATTGGAGTGTCAGTTTTAAGTCATCTTGCAAGATCGGCTCCCTTAGGACCAATTCACGTCTATGCCTCCATTGACGACATTGATTTTTAGCGAAGTCTCTCAAATCGTTAAATCCCCATTGATCGTCAACTCGGAGTAGATGCCATTGGCCCAAACATGTTGGGGGTCGGGGATACCCTGTTGCGTGTCGAACTGTAGCTTCACACGATCATTGTGGTGCATCACCACAATAGTGAACCTGATGAGTGTTGTTTTTGCAGTCCAGACTTCAGTATCAAGAGGGTTAATCTCATGGTCGAGATCCTTATATGGCCTCCATACAAACTGTAGAGTAAAAAAAGTTATATAAAATATTAAACTTAATTAAAATATTCAATGCATTGTATAAAATATATAAGTTTAATACCTCTCTGGGTCCAACATGATCAATAAGATTTCGGTAGACTACTATTGCATTTCTAGGGGATTTGTTGTAATTCATCCCAGGAACATACCACCTACATAGAAAAAATGGATAATAAATTAATACACTACATGTCTCGGTATATAATATGTAAAATTTATGGTTTTGTAATCTTACTTTGTAGAAAAGGGAAAGACGAATGGCCTTGTGTTGCCGGGAGCGAGGGTCGGCATTCTCGAACAGCACCATGTCTGGAGCAAAAAGGCGCAAGAATAGAAAGAACAGCTACCGTTTGATGCATTCTTACACAAGGAGCTATACAGATGGGCCAAAATAGTTGAACCCCAACTATATGTGTTTATTTTATCAAATTGTCTTAACAAGGGTAAATACATGATATTAACAGTATTACTCATTGTTTCAGGAAATAAAAAATAGCCAAATAATATCATTAGGTAACATCGAGCTTTCATAATTTTTTCTTGCTCGGTAGAGTTTTCGGTTATTACGAGACTACTATGATATTCTCTAAGAAGACGGAGATTAATACCTTGGCCTCTTGATCCTTGTTTAAATAAAGAGACTCCCAAAAGTTCCTCGCATATGGCGTTGTCTTGGTTGACTCGACCATTGACAGCCTTATCGTCGATCGATAGACCGAATAACATGTACATGTCCTCTAGTGTGACTGTACATTCACCACATGAAAGATGAAAGGTGTGAGTTTCGGTTCTCCATCTCTCCACTAATGCGAGAATAATTTTATAGTCAACATGGTAATTGACTATTTTGAGTAACGGACCAAAATCGGCATGTCGTAAGTACGGTTCAATTTGAACGTCGTAAGGGACATTCTCATGGACACGACAACGAAATATTTTAACATCCTATTAAAAACATGAATTACGTATAAGAAATACAAGATTTAGGTATAACAATCATAAGAATTAAGGAACAAAAAATTGTCGACAAAAAATTGTCGACAAAAAATAGGTATTGAGAAAATACACTTACAAAGGTTTCAATGTTGTTCGGAGTTCCTCTATGTTGATCACCCATGGTCAAGAGAGATATTTTTTCTTGATTACTCTTGTGTTGTTGTTGAGACTTCAAGAAAGAAATAATGTATGAGTTATGATTGTGATGAAAATATAGGGTGAATGTTACATGTATTTATAGGAAAATCTTGAAGAACACTTTGCATGCAACTTATACACATAGGCGCCACACTAGGTGGCGCATGCTCTTCTTTCTTGCACATAGGCGCCACACTAGGTGGCACATGCTCTCTTTATTGTACATAGGTGCCATTCAACATGGCTTATTGCTTTTTGCATGCATGTAAACCTGCAGCGTGGCAGGGATCAGATGGCATGCATGCAAGTTTTGTTGTTCAATGACAAGCCACCCTAGGTGGTGCATGCATGCAAAAAAAAAGAGGATAAGCCAACCTAGGTGGTGCATGCTTACATAAAGAGGAGGATAAGCCACCTAGGGTGGCACATGCATGAGAAAATAGGAGGATCAGCCACCTAGGGTGGCGCATGCATGCAGAATATCAGTCTATTTAATCGTCTGTGTAGGTTGCATTACCAGTATACATCCATAACTCACAAAAAACATACCTCAACAATATGGATCATTCACAAAATTATACTATTGTTGCCCATATTAACGGTGAGACGTTCAACTGCGATAACTTAGGTTTTAATTTCCATAATACCGATTTTATCCGCTTTTGGATAAACAAGAAATCCAGTTTTGCACGCTTCAAAAATAGAGTAGAATCCAAATTGCAGTGTGGTCCAGTTTACCAAATTCTTTACAAGTCCCCATTTCTATTTGACAACAACCAAGTCAAATTTTATTAACTTAAGGTGCGCGACGATGATGATGTTCGAAACATGTTTCGAACTCATGAACAATCCAGGTTCGATGAGATTGAGTTGTATGTTTTATTACAACAACCAGATCAATCTCAGGTGGTAGATCCTTCTCAAGAATTTGAAGAAGAGGATGAATCTGACGAGGACAACCATCCTGAAGTCGATGTTATTGACCAAGAAGAAGAAAATGATGAGGCAATAATTGATTTTATGGTCAATGATGATGATGCAGATCAAGAGCATAAACCTATACCTGCGAGTCATGTGTACGCCCCTCCGTTTCACATGACGAACTTGAACTTGGGGGAAGATGAACCAACCTCAGATATCTTTCACGATCCTTATATGCAGACCGAAGGGGCCTTGAAAGTTGTAGACAAATTTCGAACAAAAGAAGAGTGTCTTAGAGCTATCAAAAAATACCACATGGAAATTTTAGCTGACTTCACTGTAGATAAAAATAATTCAGGGAGGTACGTTATTTTATGTCATCAAAAACCAATTTTCTCTTTTCGGTTAACTGTATCTTACAGGAAGAGAAGTGATTCATGGGAAATAGGTTTCATTGATCCACTCCACACTTGCATCACCACCGTTCCGACACAGGATCATCAGAAACTTAGTTCTCAACTAATATGTCAAGAAATCTTGCCTCTTATTAGCAAAGATCCATCATTAAAGGTGTGTACAATTATTTCTCATATCACTACGAGATTCAATTATACTCCCTCTTACAGGAAGGCATGGATCGGGATGACTAAGGCGGTTAAACTTGTGTACGGTAATTGGGAGGAATCGTACAAAGAACTTCCAAGATTTTTGGTGGCACTCAAATATTATGCTCCGGGAAGTGTTATAATTTTGGAGACACTTACGGCTTTTACCCCATACAAAACTCGTGTTAGTGGGAATGGAATATTTCATGGATTGTTCTGAGCGTTTGAACCATGCATCAAGGGTTTTGCATTTTGAAAACCTATTATACAGATTGATGGAACTTGGTTATACGGGAAGTATAAAGGAACATTACTCATGGCAGTGGCACAAGATGGGAACAATAATGTTTTTCTGATTGCCTTCTCTCTAGTTGAAGGTGAGACAGGTGGTGCATGGAATTTCTTTCTGAAGAATCTCCGATTACACATTGCTCCATAACCCAACCTTTGTTTGATTTTAGACATACATCCATCAATTGTGAGTGCATACAATAACCCTGATAACGGTTGGCAGAATCCCCCTTCGACACATGTCTATTGCATTAGACATATCACACAAAACTTCATGCTCCATATCAAAGACAAGACACTTCGAAAGAAAGTTATTAATGCAGGGTATACCTTAACAAAACCGTCATTCTGATACTATCGCGAAGAAATCCGATTGGCAAACTCAGAAGCATTAAGGTGGATCGATAACATTCCAGTGGAGAAGTGGACTCGGGCATTTGACAATGGTCAACGATGGGGCCACATGACAATAAATCTGGTGGAATCATTGAACTCTGTATTCAAAGGCATCCGAAACCTACCAATTACCGCTTTGGTTATAGCAACATATTTCAGAATGGGTTCATTGTTTGACACAAGAAGTTCAAAATGGAGGGCAGTGTTACAATCAGGGCAGTTGTTCAGTGAATGCACGATGAAAACATTTAACTAGGAGGCTGCAAAAGCAAACACCCATAGTGTCACCGTGTTTAACCGTATTAAAGGTTGGTTCAGTGTACAAGAGACACTGGATCATAATAAGGAGAGGCCAAGGGGATATTATCGAGTCGAACTAGATAGAGGTTAGTGTGATTGCGGAAAGTTTCAAGCATTTCGCATGCCTTACTCTCATGTCATAGTGGCATGTTCGCATGTTCTCTTGGACCCAATACAACATATATCCCTTGTGTACACGGTAAAGAGAGTTTTAAGTGTGTACATCAATACCTTCTCCGTGTTGGCAAAGGAGGATTACTGGCCTGCTTATGAAGGGGACATTGTTTGGCACAATGAACAAATGCGACAGAAGAAAAAGGGGCACCCGAAAAGCACTCGTATTAGAACTGAAATGGATACGACTAACAAAATGATAAGATTATGCGGTACATGTCGTCTTCTCGGACACAATCGGAAAAATTATCCGAATATTGGGTCTAGCTCTGCAACATAACTTTTTAATAGCAAACTATCTGGAGTG